TGGGGAACGGCATTTTTCCTTGTGTTTTTTTGTTAGGCTCAGTTACACATATATCACCATGGCTAAATTAAAAGGCCTGTATTCTGCTGATGGATGGGCAGTAGGTTTTGCTTGGAACCACAGGAACTCTCAGGATAACATTGGCAATACCAGGGCCAAGGGGAAATTTACAGCATAAGCTGAATGTTAACCTTCCCTTCCAGTAACAGACTGTGGTCCAATCCATGAAAACTCTTTCTGTAATCATCTTTCTACAGCAAAATATTTTAGACATCTTTTAGGGTCCAGTTCTTAACAAAGTACTTAAAGACAGATGAGCAGAAATTCACACAGAACTCCTCTGCAAAAACTAGAAATGGGAAAAAACGAGCTCATGTATCACAAGAAGAAAAGCAGAGCTAATTATGGGATAGAGATGAGTGGTCTGAGCTGTACTTCACTTGCCAGTAGGAGTAATTCCAGCAAGGAATTTGTCTTCCCCTGGCAAAGGCATCAAACACAATCCATGACAGAAAATATCCACAATTACAGCATACTTAAATAAAAGCAAGGGGAAGTTTTCTAGAAACTCACATCCTTGGCATGATGGGCGCCTTCTCCTCATCCCATTAAGTTCAATCTGTCAATTTAACTAGAAATTGTGATATCTTGTCATCTCAGTGCTGCAGCCCATGTCTCAAGATCAAGCTATCTGTCTGTCCTTCCAGATGTCTGTATATTCCTTGCTCTGAGGTAGTAGGCTATTCCCATAAGTAGAGGCCTCTGACCCCAGCAGTTCCAGGAGGAGCAATCATTGTCCTTGATGATACAAGTATTTTTGGATGCTGGGCCAGTCTGTGAGGGCACAGGGGACTTGGAGAACAAGAAAAAGCAGGTACCCCTTCAGTGATTTTCTGCCCTCTTGCTGCTTGCCTATCTTAACTCATGTACCTACAGCAGTAGGACAGCAGTAGCTGGAGTGGGAAAGCTGGATGTCTGCCCAGTAAACACATGTGTTTCCAAAGGGAAAATTTCTTGTTACTTTCTGAAAATCAAGTTCCTCCTTAGATTAGGCTCCTCCACAATTTGCTACATCTCCTGAAAAAATACCAACAAACCATCAGTATAAAATTATCCCTTATGTCTGACAAATCTTGGACAGGTTCATCTCTGTATTCTCATGGCAGAATAAACACTGCAAAAATCGACCATGCATGTGTTCAGCAGTGCCTTTCCTTTACCACACACACTCAAGCATAAGTTTTTAAAAAATACAATTAGAAATAAAGTAAAAGATGATTGAAAAAAATCACACATGCAGTGAATATGAACCTGGATGGAAATGCTTGACATGTTATAAAATAAATTTATTTTTAAGGAAAAGAAAAATAGAAGTAGAGACACTTCTACAGTAAGTCAGACCCTAGACTGGAATGGTCATAGTGTGGTAGAACTGAATGACATCCCTGCACTGCTTTGGCACCAGAGTATCTAACACATGTTGTTGCTCTTATTGAAATGCAGGCAAGAATTAGACCCTGAGGCCAGCAGATAGCAAAAATGAGCTGCAGAAAAGGCCTCTACCTACAGCAAAGCAGCAATACAGGGGAGAAAAGGCTAGGGGATTTGAAAGAGATGAGATCCATGGTGCAATGTGACCAGCAGGACACCAGGGAATGATCAAGAGGACAGGACAGCACTGTTGAGCAATTGAAACTGGATTTTGAAAGGAAGCTACTAGTACAAGTCAGAGGTGCAATAAGTTCCAAATGCAAGTTAGTGAAGGAGATCTTTTTTCTGTGGGTAAGTTGGGGGGTTTTCTCTTGTTTTGTAGCTAATGTAGTTGTTCAGTCTGATCATTTGAGTTTCATTATTGCTAGTGTTAACTGATTTGTCAGTTAATCTAAAATGCTGTTATGTGATCACTTGAACATAAATTACTGCCAGGACATCCAAAATTTTATTCTTTTTTGTATGCAAAACTGCAACAAGCTATTGACTAAGAAGGAGGTAGATAGAAAGCGAAGGTGTAAGTTCAGTAAAAGAAGGAGTATGGAAAATCAAAAATTAAGAAATCATGTTGAATGTCAAGTGTAAGGGCATCCACATGTACTTATGTGACTTTTTCTGACATTATTTCTGTTACATTACATTTTCCTGGTGGAAAAGGTAGAAACCTAAAGAACAGATGATTCCATCTTAGGCTGGTGACTGGAAGGCTGACTAAGAGCAAAAGATGTTGGACTTACAAGTAACTCTGGGACAGCATTTTTCTAGTTAGTATTTGTATCATCTGAGGCTGTTTTGCATCTGCAAGGTAGGTAATTTTCATGGACAGAGTATTTTCCTGAGGCAATTTGGTAGCAGTCAGCAGCATTACAGTAGAGGTGTTTCTGGTCATGAATTTTGAGATCTCTTTTCTTCCTGTTGAGGAGCAACATGAGTAGAAAAATTATATGCAACTTCACCAAGTCAAACCAAGGCCAGGAACCTGTGACTGACAGCATCTGGGAGAAAAAATTAATTCATTTTGAAATACATTATATGCTGACTGTGTTAACCTCTTAAAGGAAGCATGTCCACACACCCATAAAAGATGATTTTGCCTATGCAAACTGCTTGTACGAGATGTTTTCCCCATGGTCTGTGCCGTCCCCCCTCACCTTCAACATGTGCCACCATGTTACCTTATCCACTATGAAGCAAAGCAAAGCAAAGCAAAGGAGCTTCTCATCAGGTGTGTTAGTATCAGGGTCACTCTTCCTTTGTATCTGCCATTCCCATCACAGGCACTAGATAAGGCAGCCCTTTTGATGGCTTTAATCATGACAGCTAACATTCAAGGAAGATAAAAGGCTTCTTTAAGCTCTCTTCTTTATGGCTCTCATTAGCTGCTTTATACCTTCATAGTTGGAGAAAACATACACCGGTGTCTAGGATCTTTGTTATATAACCTTTGGTCTAGGACCTCCAGTATCCAGTGGTTATTAAACTTTGACCCCAGTCTTGAATGTATTTTCTACATTGCTTTTCAGGAGAGCAAACAGCCAGTCTGGCCATTTCAGAGTACAGTTTATCAAAAATGAAGAAAGTGAAAGAGTAACTTCACTCAGTAACTTCAGATAGTAACAAAACTATCAGGAGTACAAGTAGATTTATTCCATACCTACACAGTGGTGTCTTTCTGAAAACCCTGAAATCTAAAGTTAAATGAAATTATGGTGATAATGTGGTGGAATACCCCTCAGCTTCCAGCAGAAGTGGTGTAAGTACCTTACATCCTCCAAAAGGAGTAGTGTTGTCCCTGTTTGCAGGTGCATAAGGAGAAAGCAGCTCTTAGGAACCATATATTTGTGTTTGTTGTCCTTCACAGCCCTCATAGTGGAGGACACACATCCATAGCAGAAGAAAGGCAATACTAACATGTGTTTGCAAAACGTTCAAGGAGTTGGGGAAACGGAAATCTATATGTGGTGGAATTGACATGAAAGGCAACTGTACAACTTCTGTATTTGTTTGGGTACTGACAGCAGGAGAGAGGAAATTAATCTTCAAAAGTCCATTGTAGGACCCCTCTTCTTTCCTTTGCTTCTCTCACTGTGATCTTTCTTTAGCATAAGTGGGCGGCACACCTTTCCTTCACATACTTTAATATTTAGAAGTGTGCCAGATGCCAAGAATCCAGAACAGAAATAGTTACCCACGTACTGGGGAGGACTATGCAGCAAGTCTCAAATGCAGAACCAAGTACTTTATGTGTCGTGTTAATTAGCGTTTTATAACAAGAAAAAAAGGCTTTCCAGCTGCAAGGAAAAGCTGTGTCTCTAGGCAGCAGACAACAAATGCAGAACGCATTGGGACCAGAAAAGGGGATTTAGTTTGCTTTCCTACTGGTGGTTCTCCCCATTGCTTGCTGAAAAATGTATGTAACAATTACACCAAAGAAAGAGCTGTAAGACTAGGGAGGGTCAGTCCATGACTGCACAAGTAGAACAGTACAATACTGTGGTCCACCTGCTCCACTTATAAGGATTCACTCTTTTTTCTGCTTCCTAACTGTGTGCCTGACTGCAGTGCAGCTTCTGCCCAGGCCGTTTCCCAGTCTAGAAAGTGGCAGAAATACAAAGCAAAAGGAAACTGTTGTCCTTTAAAAAGAATAAATTTCTCTCAGGTCACATCACATTCTATCCTACAAGCTTAAGATAAGAATATCTGTAGTATGGTAGGAAAGAGTCAATTTAGCCATGTTTTCTCTGTTATGGAGATCAGCATTGGAGGCCTAGGGAAGACCAAAAGGATGGAACATCAACGTCCAGCATGATCTTCCAGCCTCCAGGTATTTGCAATTCACAGGCTTCAGAGCCAGCATATTTATGTCAGACAATCCTGAATAAATCTTATTTCATTAACTTATCTAATTTTTTTTAAGCAAGCATGCATATGACACACAAGCATGTACTTCTACTTTCTTCTAGATTAGAAGAATCTGCTATTTTTATGGCTGATCCTGTATTTGATCTTGGAAAGCTGAAATGCATTTTACTCTGGCTCAGTTTCATGAACACAGATGAAAATATTAGTATTCACAAGGATAAGTATAAAAGGAAACTTCATATTTCCATATAACTTAACATGTAAATAATAGGTAAATAGTTATGTTTATATAGTAATACTCAATCAAATATTCTAGAATTAACAGATGTCCTGAATTCTTTTTTGTACAGCTATCTCAGATATTGCCTGAAACATAATAAACTATTATCAGTTTGGAAACACCAACAAAATGCTAACTTTGTGAAAGAAGAATTCATAAACAAATCTTTGTACCTTTTGGGAAAACAGATACTGCATTGTAAATATTTATTATAAGTGTGTTATTAAGGAAGAGGCACAGCAGAAGTTTTACAGCTGGAACTAAGGTGCTATGAATAATTATGTTAAAGAACACTGTCAACAATATTTATACTGTGTCCAAATTGTGCTAAGTTTTTACACACTATTAGGAAGATAAGATCACATACCTATTGCAGTGTTTGGAACTCGCTCAGAGCCAAGAAGTCTGGCAGGACTCCATTGCAGTCAGCGCCTCAGCTCTTAGCAGATGGGTGTTACACAGCGTGCCTCTGCACGGCACAGCTCACCCGAGGGCTTCCGAGAGGCGCTTCTCCCGACCCCAATGCCCCAGGGTGGCTGCGGCTCAGTGTATGAAATGGGATGCTGGGGAGGGAAAGTCATTGAACCCCAAATGCAGTGAGCTACTAGTGAGCGTTTTAAGGGCAAATAGTCTCCCTCTAGGCAAATTCTCATTTGGTGGAGGCACAGTGGAGAGAATTTCACTTTGTTTCGTGCATACAGACTTCAGTGTGTCTGTTTGTGTACGGCTGGATTCTGCTCAGGTACTTTGTCTTCACTTGCTCAGGGACAGAGAAATTTACACGTGAGTTCATGAATGCAAATGAATGCATGAAGTATGATGCTAGCCCTCTCAACTTAAAGACAACTGTATGCAAATGTGCATGTGCAGATATTTAAATTCTCAAAGGATATAATTATAAAATAATACACACAAAACCAGTCTAAACTCAGGTATATATGCTTGTTGTTGTTAACTTTACATAGTTCTTAGGCTGTAAAAATTTATTATTTTTTTAAATGTAGGCTATTTGTTACTTTAATGCTTTCCTTTTGATTTTGTTTGGATTTTCCTGATGGCACTCTATGTTGAAAAATTAGTTAGGGTCAAGGCAATTGTTAATTCAAGAGAATTGCTTCCTTAGAGCATTCAGTCTTGTAACTTAGTTTTAGGTAGTCCTGCAACGAGCGTGAATTTGCACTCAATGACCCTCATGGATGTGTCCTTTCTAATTTGAGATACTCAGCAATTCAGTGAAAATGACGTAAAATTATTTTTTCCCCTACAAAACATCAATTGAAATTAGATCATCAGAGTTGCCATTCCAGAAAGATATAACTTGAAAAAACATTTGTTGTCTATCAATCAAATTCTGGATGGAATCCAGATAACTGATTTTAAGGCTATCTTAAAACTGTAAACACCAAGTTTTAGCCCACATTTCTTCAGAAAACCAGGTTTTTGAGACTAGAAGTAGTCTGTTTCTATTTGTTTGTCCTGTTCACCAGTAATAATGTTTCAAACATCAGCAATTTCACTCTAACAGAGAACATGAAATCTCTCATACCACCAAGTTTTTCTAGATCTGGAGACAGCAGCATCCAGGCTGTAAGAAGGACACTTATGATGGTCCTTTACGCGGTGCTAGAGGACTGGAAATGGACGGAGCCATCACAGAGCAGAGACCGTGGACCAGAGTTGTTGCTCAGCACCGGCACGGCCCAGCAGGCAGGAGAAAGCCGCTGGAGCGGAGAGCAGCTCCCGGCGGCTCGGTCCGCAGAGGACGAGCTGGCAGGCTGGCAGGGCTGCTGGGTGGCATTGGCGGCTGGGTGGCTCCGCAGCTCCTCTGGCCACACAGGGGGCTCAAAGCAGCAGAGCTGTCGCAGCCAGGGACCCTCTCGCAGCCCCGGCTCTTGGCAGGAGCGCAGCGCTGCGGGTGCTGCTCGCTGCCCACAGGTGGCAGTGAGCCTTCACCGTTCGCCAGACAGAACCCAAATTTGCCTCTGAGCCTTTTGGTGTTTGTGGGCATCGGCCTGACGGCCCCTGCTTGAGGTGCTCGGGTCTGGCTTTCGGGGAGCTCCTCAGCAGAGGGCCCTGCTTTTCGCTCCTCTCTCCGAATGCTGTAACATAATCTGTGCGACTGGGAAAGGTCAGTCACAGTGAGCAAGACCTGCTGAAAAATTCACTCAAATCTGTGATGTCAAATGGTGTCAACATAGTTGGAAACGCAACACTTCAAAGTAGAAAATTTTTCAGAGGTGGTGATAATTTTATTATCTGTATCTGCCTGAGCACAGGCCTGGTGTGAAACAACAGAGCAAGGGAGAGAAGAGGAAAAGGAGCTGAGCAGATCAGAGGAGATCAGAAAATTGCTCATACAGGGTAATAAATTACTCATTCAGAATAATAAACTTTGCTGTCAACAAACACAGCTTCCCTTGGATTTTTCAAAGGATAAAACCACCATTGTTTATGTTTAAGCTACCCTCTCTCCCATGTCCTTTATCTTAACAAAGTCATTTAAGTTCCCTATGAAACAACAGTATATATTTCTGATGCTCCAAAATAGGTGCTGAGTACAAATTTTCAAACCTTTACAGATAAATAGATTAGATTAAAGAACAAAAACAATGGTGTTGAGTGGAAAAATAGACAGTAAGTAACATTTGGCCAACCCGTAAGCGGAAGATGTTTGCATACGCTATATAATATCTGGGTATCTGTCCCTTCATTTTTGTCCTGGCACCAATAACAACATGCATCATGTAGGTTTGTGGGTTTTGGGGGCTTCTCCTTTTTTCTTTCCAAAAATAACAGCGAACTTCAAAGTGACAAATAGCATCAGCAAACTGAAAAAACAAAACAAATGTAATTTTGTCTCAAACTGCTGCCCAAATGTGACTTAACTATGTGAGTTTTTCTCTGCTCTCAGACAGCTGTGAACATCTGCCAAGTGACTGGAAACCCAATGCATCTGGTGTCACCTGTATCTTGATACATAGCAACAAGCCAAGTTTTGCCATCATGTATGTTTTTGCATCTTCACTGAATCCACTGGGGCTGCATGCATGTAACTGAGAGTTTAATCCCGGTGGAGCTCTGTTGTGTTTCCCCGTGACTAAGTTCAGTGGACTTCAGTGGAGTCACAGGGTGTAACTGAGACCAGACACACTTGATTGATAAGTACTTTTACTAATAAATCCTTCTACCAGCCTGGTGCCCTGCTGCAAAGTTTCCCCTAAAAAAATGGATGTTCTGACAAATAGGGAGCTTGCTACTAGACATCTACAGCTTGGTGGGCTGATTTTAGGACAAAATTTTTAACACAACAGAGTATTCTGCTGTTTTCTTGTGAAAAAGCAGTTCTGTGACAATTTGTGAGCCCTCCATTCCCTGCCCCTGAGCCAATGTGGAGGCACTGGTCCCATGGGAAAGAACCAGCTCAGGATCTACATCTAGTGAGAAAGAGGTCTGGAAACAGGGCCTCAGAGGCCAGCCATCAGGGTCCTGCCTCTCCAAGGCAGGGGCCAGATTGGCTTTGTGAAGAGAAGTAGGTTCATCATGTTCAGCACCCAAACTAAGCTGATTTATTTTTGGAGACCCCTGGTCTGGAATGGCCCTGATCTGAAAGTCTGGAGCAAGTAGGCAGCCCATCCCAGAGAGCTGGCAGTGCTGGTACAGAAGGTAAATTCTGTGTTGTTTTGTCTCATCAGTCCCTGCCACGGAAGAGAAGTTTTGTTCTCAGGCTACCTAGAAAGAGATACTAGGTAGACAATATTTGTACTCTTCAGGAAAACAAAACTCCATTTAAAGAGTCCTCATATCACCTTGAGACATAATTTTAAATTCTGATTGAGGTACTGCAAGGGAAAACATCAAAAAGAAATTTGCATTTTTTATTTAATAAAATTAATCCTTGCAGTCTTTGTTGTTTTGTACACTATGTGCATTTGTGACTCTTTTGGGCAGAGTAATTTTCACAGGATCTGCATATTGCAATTTTATGCAGGAATAAAGTTCACATACAAAATGGAGCCAGAACTGTCTGGCACAGAACTCCTAAGGACAGATGGTGCCACCTGCATCCTCAAGTAAGAATAGTCCAAGCCAGGTTTGTAAACAATGACCTATTTAAGTGAAGGGGGGGGGGGGGGGGGAATCTATGAGCTCTCTTCCTATCTAAGTACAGAACATTTACAGAAATTGAAAATTATTAAAATTAAGCATTATTGAGAGCTCATTATTTTACTGACTTACAACTCTCAGGATGCATGGAAGTTCTCACTGCTATTCAAATCTGTTGTTTCTTTCTTGCCACCCATCTTCTTTACCAAAATATATCTGAGCTACAGATCATGGGGTTTTGTGTAGAGGCCTCCTCTATGTTCTCCTTCTTCCTCTGAACAATGTTATTCAGCCTTGCAGTTTAGCTTAAGCCGAGGTTTTTGGCAGGCTTATTGTTGCAATGAATTTGCAGTTGTGTCTTGAACCTTCTTATTTTGCCACTGAAATGGAAGATGTCACAAATGCAGCTCTGAAAGGAGCACTGGGGATTTAAATGTCATTTGAACATACATTTCTTTAAGAAGCAGTAAGAACACCAAGCATAAAGATAAATAAAGTAAGTAGAAAAAAGGGGAAGCATTTAAGTTTTTCTTAGCATGAAAAGTATTCTATTTACAGGAAAAACATTTCTTTCATTGATTATCATTGGGCTCCATTTCCTTGTAAGAAAATATTTGTGCTCTTTGTGTTGAAAATTTCTTCTGTCTTCTGTGGAAGAACATTTGAAAACTGATAGTTTTTCACTTGTTTAATAATCAATTATTCCCAAAAGTTTGTGTGTTTTTGTGGACATACAGATACAGGTCTATACACCACATTTTATGCCTCGTGAAGGATTTAAACAGTAATACAGGCACTAGCTGACACTGGGTTTGCTTCTTTTTAAGCACTGATAACTGGCAATCAGATGAAATCTAATTTGTTTCCAGATAAGTGAAAATAGAAACAAACTTAGAGTTTTAGATCTTTAGGTCTTTCCTTTTTTAGATTTCTTCTAAGACATGAAAGAAGACTCTATTCAGACCAACTATTTGCTTGGTGTTCTTGAAACCAGCAGAGGCTACAAGGTCTGTTGACAGGTCAGTCTCTTGAATGTCCCCAAGGTTCTGGCACCTCAAATTTTGGAAATGAACTTAATTGGTAGCCTTCTACCAAGACATAACAGTAAAAGTTTAATCAGTAACATTATTTTATATTAGGCTGAGCAGAAGTGAACAAGAACACTTCTTGTGGTCTTGCCATTCAGTATAAAATTAAAAAATGCTCAAAACAATCAGGCTAAAAAAAGGCTATTAAAAAACATGTCACCAAATTTTTAGAAACTTTAATGAAAGTTTGTCTCCGTTTTAATTTCAGGATGAAGTCTGGGTCTGCTTTAGACTTAAATGTCCAGTTTTCTACATTACTAATTAGAATTCTTTGTGCTGGAGAATGTTCAGGTGTGAAAATAAAAACTACCCCC